AAAGAGTTCGAAACGTTGTACATACACACGTGTATAACTGTAAATAAACCACGTTCTTAAACAATGATTCACAAGTGTTTTGCGCTAGAGAGAAGTGTTTAAAACTGTTGATTAAGCAACAATTAGACAATGAAAGAACCCTTCGAACCCAAAGACTTATTCAACCCACAGTCCTCGAAAAAGCCAGTGTAGTGACCTATCAGGTAGAAGCGACTCTTCGATAGAATATAATTCGTGATATTTCACTGTTTGTCTAATACACGCGATACGCGCGTGCTGCGGGAGGCCACTTAAAATTGAAAGTTCTCCGAGCTTTAGTGGCTGGAACATTTCATAGAGAAGGGGAAGTAAGTTCCTCGTACCATTGAACATTTCATAGAGAAGGGGAAGTAAGTTCCTCGTACCATTGTCAGATCATATTGATTATAGAATTGCGTGCTGGACAGAAGGAACAAGCACAATATGCAAGGATTGAGAAAATAGTGTTCTACGAAGTTTGTATAAAAAAACTTGCTTGATCATTCAGTTTATTTCTTACCCGTACAAAATCCGTAAAACCGTTTTCGTAGAAACCATAAAAACGTTGGAGAGAAATCCCAGGTTTTCATCTTACCCGCAGAATCTTATAACGAAATGAATAAGTGACTTGTAACACATTCTTGACAGTTTCACTTGCTGCTTGCTGAAAATATATTAGATTAATCGTGGTTTCTAACAGATTATAAGCCATGAAATATGGTCCAGAAGATACAATTGAACAAATTCACTAACACAAACTAAGCCTTGTTAATTACGTACAAATTTTTCCTTTTATCTTCGAGACTAAAAATGTCTTATTAAATGTTTCTTTTAAGAATGTAAACTCTTAATTTCCTGAACCTGCCAAGAACAATAAAATCAAAGACATATACAATAAGCTGATATCAAGAGAATCCAATACTACACAGTGTTTATTTCCCTTCAAGCCTATCCATGGAGACGCATACCACAGATTAATTCCAAGGAATCAAAAATAACACAGTTTACTTGAGAAAAATAGGCCTAGTTTCCATTAGCTTTCAGAATTCATCATCTTAACTACATCTTTTAATTTGGTAGTTTGAAACAAGATAACTTTAATACCAGCTTGATGGCGCAGGGAAAAAGAATAAAGCAGTTTATTTCAGCCGTCGGGACGTTATAATGTGACGGTCACTCTCACTTTTCGTTAGTAAAAGAGTAGCTCAAGAGTTGGCTGTGGGTGGTGTTGACCGGCTGCCTTCCCTCTGGTCTATCACTTCCAAGTTAAAGACGGCTAGCGAAAATAGCCTTCGAGTAGCTTTGCACGAAATTCCAAACAAACATCCATATTTTGCTCTCGTGAAATGCATTTTTAGTGCTACTTACGCGCATGCGCCGTTGCTGGAGATGCAGCTCCCTATTCAATAGAGAGTTATGTCCTTCTTACGTAGATCTGTTTAGATGAGTTTTTATTGTTTTCTATTTTATTTGTCTCAAAAGAAATAAATAAATGAAGACGAAACCTTAATAAAGCTGTTTAAGTCTTCAGGTGTGTCCGTGAAACAGTTGCTACAATATATAAACTTACAGGGTAATGTTGACTGCTATTTATTCCGAATCATAAGTTATATAAAATAAAGGATGGAATAGCGTACAGACTCGTGATTTATTTGATTTAAATATTATAGTTTTTGGATGTAGCTGTAGTTATACTACGATGATTTTATGTGTAATGGAATACATTTATCTTTCATGTTTAACATTATTTCACTTGAGGTAGGTGGCGAAAAGCAAAGAACGTTAGAAATAGGTAAAGGGTTTTGGTTTTGGTTTATTACATATATCTCGCACAGCTAACAAAGGCTATGTACACTAGTCGTTCGTAATTTTCAAATGATAATACTATAGAGGGAAGGCAGCCACTCAATAGCACACATCTCCAACATGCTTAGGCTATTCTAATCAAATACTGGAATTTGACAGTGATTCTTATAACGCACTCACGACTCAGCTCCAGAGTGTGAAGCGCTTTTTTTTTTTCAACAACCGGACCCCAACCTTGAATCCACATTCTGACACACCACTAGTACAATGTATAAAACATATTTACTTGCGAGTGCTTATGGGTGAAAAAAGTATCAAATTTATATATTTTTGTCATATAAATTATTTTTATTTCCCCTATTTATATCGCAGACAGAGAATAATTACCAAATATATATATATATATATGTTTATTTGTTTTTATCATGTGTTTCTAGTTTGAGTTAATATATGTGGAAGTCCAGCCAGGAGCTGTGTCAGCATCAAGTATAGTATCCAATGATTTCTGTTTTACTTCCAAATAAAAAAAATTACTTTTTACTGTAATATCTCAGTAAATCTCGCTAGCTACGTTAAAGAATTTTGGGTTATATGTCAGCAGCATCAATGCGACAGACGAATAACACTGACGATGGTTACTGTGACTAATGTTTAAGCCAGTGGACGCTTCCAATTGTCTAACAGTTTTTAAAGTTTCCCGATTTCTCAGACACGACATCGTCTGAGAAAAAAAAAATACATACGATTAACGACCATGAAGTTTATATCCCTCTTTTTTTTGTTCGATATTTTCTTTGCTTTAAAAGAAAACTCCAGTATACCAGCGTGAGTGATAGAGTTGAATGTAACGTCTGTATGAAAAATGGAACAAAAAAGAAAAAAAAGCACTGTCTATTTCTCTTCTAAACAATTCCACACTTTGTCCGATAAAATTAAACCCTAGATCTTGTTGGTTGGCTTGAGCGAAAAGCCACATTGGGCTATCTGGTGTGTCCATCCCTAGTTCTTGTTGGTTGGCTTGAGCGAAAAGCCACATTGGGCTATCTGGTGTGTCCATCCCTAGTTCTTGTTGGTTGGTTCGCTTTAGTGCAAAGCTACTTGGGCTCTCTGCTGTGCCCATCTCTAGATCTGGTTGGTTGGTTCGCTTTAGCGCAAAGCCACATTTGGCTCTCTGCTGTGTCCCCCCCCCTAGATCTGGTTGGTTGGTTGGCTTTAGCGCAAAGTCACATTTGGCTCTCTGCTGTGTCCCCCTCCCTAGATCTCGTTAGTTGGTTGGCTTTAGCGCAAAGCCATATTGGACTATCTGCTGTCTATAGTTCTTGTTAGTTGGTTTGCTTTAGCGCAAAGCCACATTTGGCTCTCTGCTGTGTCCCCCACCCCTAGATCTGGTTGGTTGGTTCGCTTTAGCGCAAAGTCAAATTGGGTTATCTGCTGTCTCTAGAGCTTGTTGGTTTGTTTCTTTGTAATTAAACACAAAGCTACACAATGGGCTAACTGCGTTCTCTGCCCACCACGGGTATCGAAACTCGGTTTCTAGCGTTGTAAGTCCGCAGACATACCGCTTTGCTATTGGGGGGCCCCCATTGAGTTATCTACTGTCTTTAGATCTTGAGCCAAATTGATTGTGGATCTTGAAGCTACGACTTCTGTTGGTAAGGCATAATTTTGATGTCATTTATGAAAACATTTTATTCAGTTAGCTATGATAAAACACTGCGTTACAAGCTATTTCTTTAATTTTCATCTTCTATAATTTCCCCAGCTTCAATAACTAAAATGTTTAAAATATTACGATGCTTTCTGAACAAAATATAAAATAGATAAAAAATCAAGTTTCGTGGTTCTTATCGAGTTCAGGTATCTACGTAGTAGTTTGTTAATTTGACATATATCTTCCATAACGGTCAAAAGGGTGAGAGGACATTGAAAACCTGATTACTGTTGGTTTGTTTTAGAGCAAAGCCACATTGGGCTATCTGTCGTATTCACCGCGGGGAATCGAACCCCGTATTTTAGCGTTGTAAGTCTGTAACATACCGCTGTCTTACCGGGGGACTGACAAATGATATTATTCAAGGTATTTCGTGTATAAACTAAGTAAAAAAAAAAAAATTAATGTTACCGAAGTATTATGTGTTTCCTTTATATAGCTAAAATAATAATGTCTGAATATTCTTATTCGGATTTAAACCTAAAAGAACAATTATAATATTTCGTTCCGGAAACTTCATTTTTGTTTCAAAGTGTATAAAATAATGTTTAGATTACTATAACAATTCCACTTTGACTGATGGAGCTTTTATTAATTACCTAGTTACGTTCTTTCTGTTGGAAAGTGTAATTATGCTTTAACTGCTTAATAACTTAGGCCTGTGTGAATTTTAGTATAACAACCAGCGGCGTGGAAGAATATTCAGAAATTAGCTCAGTATTATTCTTTTGAATAATAATATATACATAGAGAGAGAGTTTGTTTGTTTGTTTTTAAGTATGCACAAAGCTGCACAAGGGCTATGTGTGCTCTGCCCACCACGGGTATCGAAACCTGGTTTCTAGCGTTGTAAGTCCGCAGACCTACCGCTGTGCCACTGGGGGGCTATAGAGAGAGAGAAACAATATGAGTTGGTGTTAAAAGATGTATTTTAATGTGTTTTTGTGTTTACTATGCTGTGGTAATAGTAGAATTTGCGCTCAATCTCTTATGTTCCTTATCATTACAACTAACGAAATAAAACACTCATATTGCATACGTACATAAATTTAAAAAACTACACCAAAAGCAAATGTAGAATTTAGTGTGTATGTGTATATATACAATTAAACGTATTTTGTTCTCTTATCGTATTGATCTTTACACACTTTGGCTATTTTATGTCTTATTTCACATCAGAATCTAATACATATAGAGCACTGAACAATTTTGAAATTAAAGTTCTTGCTCTTTAAAATGTGATAATTTTAAACAGTCATTCTACTGAGTTTGCTGAACATCCAGCAAACAGCACTCAAGCTAAGTTACAAGTCAGAGTCTACTCTCATCTGCCTGCTGTACAGATCAGATAACTTTCTTTCTTTCTATAGAGTTTATTCAACATTCACCAAACACAACACTCAAGTTAGGATGTTTGATATAGACTATAATTTCCCCTATATAATTCCTTTTTTGTCTTTTTTAGTTTTTCGAGATGATTTTCGCGTCAGTCCTAAGAACACACGAGTGGCAGTTGGAGAAACCGCAATGCTGGAATGTACACCGCCCAGAGGTCATCCGGAACCCGAGGTATCATGGGAGAAAGATGGCCGATTAATAAGCGTTGGGACAGGCCGGATAAGGATGGTGGGTCAGGGTAACCTGGTCATAGAAAATATTCGCCAAGATGATGAGGGACGGTACAAATGTATAGCCAAGAACATGGTTGGGGAACGAGAATCGCCTGTAGCCACCTTAGCCGTGAACGGTGAGTATTCCCTTTCTGTTACGTAATCACGAATAAATTCAAATAATTTAACTCCAACATAGTATCAAGCCCATTAACAAGTGATTTATCAAACCATGGAACACAAAGTTGAACATAAACTAATCCAATCTCTTTGTCTGGTGTCTCTGGTCAAGCCCATTAACAAGTGATTTGGATTAGTTTATGTTCAACTTTGTGTTACTGGTTT